CCATATAACTTTATGTATATTATAGAGACAACAAATTTAGACATTTGTGTTTTTTTTTTTTTTTTTTTTTTTTTTTGTGTGTGTGGGGAAAATTTACCCTAGGTGATTTGAAAAGTGCATTGTTTTATTTATATGAAAAATTCTTCTGATTTCAAACAATAATATTCTAGTGCAATTAAAGCTTCAAAACAACGTTCTAAATAATATATGGTAATATCATTATATTATGAATTTGTGAAATTCTGCTCAATAATGAATTATGCTACCTACCAATTAAGTGTTTTATGAAAAATTAAAGTTTATACTTCTTTTGGTGCAATGCAATGCAATTAACTATATATTTAATTGTTTGATATGAAGGTTATTATGAGAAATTTTGATGGCAGGTGGAAGTTTTGTTTTAAAAATTTTGATGTGGATGTTCTATTATTGTGTTAAATGCAGAGGGAGTCATATTGATCTCAATTTCTAAATATCTCAAAGATTTGTTTTGGTGCTAAGCATAGAGAGTCATAAGGGATTGTTTCTAAATGCTAGCATAATGAGTCATATTTTTTGTTATGATATATGTTGTTCTCATTTGTTTATGTTCAATACATGATAAGCTTTATTTTAGTTATCTGTGATGCATATTACACCCAATACAATTTTGTATGGCTGCTTTCATTAAATCAGATGCATAATAAATTTAATATTTAGAAATTTAGATCAATAGTGTGACCTGTTGAGCTGTATTGGCTCAAAGTTTTTTTGCATTATATTTCAGGGTCTAAAAATGGGAAAGAGCCTATTGAGTAGGTTGACATTCATGAATATGATATGTTGAGTTCATTTATGTATTCTTTTATTTTTTTACAGCCATAGTTGGTTGTTTAAATTATTTTATTTCAATTTGTAGTCATACGCTGTAGTGTAAATGATGTATTTATATTTTGATGATGAAATGAAAAAGAAAAAAAAATACGTATGAGTTTATTTTATTGAAGTATTTAGAGGCTATGTGATTTGTGCAAAATTTAAAAGAAATATGAACAAAGCCCAAATTTTAGATCTTGGACTGGCCTGTCACAAGTCAACCCGATAGGACTTGTTATGTTTGTTGGACTTATCGAATTGTGTCATGACAACATTAATCTAAATAATAATTCAATTAAATATGAAAAAATAAAAACTAGCAAAAGATTATTCACAAACACAATAATCACATTTTGAAACCAATTGAAAACCCAAGCTTTAGATTGTGCACTCAATAAAAAATTGCTTTCTTGAAGAGCTTCCAACAAAAGAGAGAAACAATAATGGGAGTACACTTTATCCTTAGAAATTCATAAGAAGAAAAAAATGAATATAATAATATGGAATCATATGTTGAACTTGATTTTTCAAATAATTGACATATCACATAAATATTTAGGAAACAATTTCCTAAATCATCGATGCACGATATAAATTAGTACTAAATTTGTTAGTTTCTGTCATCCAATTAAAATGATCAACAAGCATAAAAAATATCTTTTAAATTTTAATATAAACATTAAAGCTTATATAGTACTCCTTTGAGATTCTTCAAATGAGAACATAACATTCTTATTATAGGAGATAATGAATCGAACTTTGCTCATCACTGATCCACACCACCATGATCTCTCTCCCTCTTATTGTTGTACACGCCTATCTCATTCATTCGTTTCTCCCCTGATGTCCCATCTCTTTGTCTTGATTGCTCGTTCACTTTTACTAAGGCCTTGATATGAAATTTTGTAAGAAGGTAATTGCTTTTGCCAGTTCTTATGATTATTGCACATATAAGTGATAAGAGTGATTTAGGATTTATTTGGTATAACTTTCTCCGTATTTTATTTTTGTTACTATTTTTAAATTATCTTCATAGTATTTTAAAAAATTTCTATGATAAAAAGCTGCTTTATACTAATAAAATAGTTACATTATTTTTCTAATAATAATTTCACATATTAAATAGTCCATTAAACAAATTAATAAAAAAATAATAATTAATTTACGTAGAAAAAAAAAGGTTAAACACTGCACATTACTAGAAGGGGTGGCCAAGCCCGGTGAAAATCTTGAATGAGGAAGACAAATCTATGCTAATCAGGGAATTCTCTTTTGAAGAGCTGGAAAAGGTGATCAAGGATCTCGGAGGAAATATAACTCCAGGACTAAACTGTATGACTTAAACTTTTTTTAAAAGTTATTTTGGCACATAATCAAGCATGATTTATAGAATGCAATGGATCATTTTTTTATTAATGGAAGGATTAATTGGAAGGATACTATCATAGTATTAATTCCTAATATTAAAAATCCTTTGTCTCCGTCAAATTATAGATCCATAAACTTATGTAATTCGGTGTACAAGATTGTTGCTAAGATGCTGTTGAATAGAATGTTACCTGTAATCCACAAGATAATTACAGAATAATAAGCTGCTTTTTTTAGGGGTAGATCGCTCTCTTATAATGTACTAGTAGCTCAGGAAATCTTCCATAAGTTCAGACATTCAAGATCAACAAAGGGTTTAGTATCCTACAAGATTGATATGGAGCAAGCATACGATTCTATGGGGTGGCCTACTTTGGTCAGGATTTTGGACTATTTTGGTTTTCCTATATGCTTTGCTAATCTTATTGCTGATTGTGTTCTTAATCCAAAGTTTTCTTTGTCAATTAATGGAGTTATCTCCAATTGGATTGAGGCTCAATGCGGATTTCGCCAGGGATGCCCGTTATCTCCATTTCTTTTCATCATGTGTGCACAACTACTCTCCAATGCTTTCATGCATAAAGGCGATTAAGTTGGTATTGATATACCACAAGCGGGCCAAAAATATCTCATCTACTATATGCCGATGACATAATAGTATTCTCTAAATCAAGGATGAAGGAAGTTAAGGAAGTCAAAAGCTTACTTGCGGATTTCTGTGAATGGACGGGCCAGAAGGTGAACCTGCTCAAATTCGGCATTTTGTTTGGGAAAGCAGTGAGAAGAAGGAGGAGGAAAAAATTTGTAGGGTAATGAATTTTAAGGAGGTCCGGGAATTCTCTTATTTGGGGGTTAAAGTAGCTTTAAGAAGAATGAAAAATGCTGACTTCCAATTCATTTTAGACAAAACAATGAGCATGATAGGTGTATGGGGAGGCAAGCTCATTTCAATGGCAGGGAGAATAAATTTGGTGAAATCGATATTGCTTTCTATTCCTACATTTCACTCAACTCTTTCATTGGTCCCAAAACAAGTCTTGAATGAGGTGGAGAAGTTGAGTAGGAGCTTCATATGGAACAAGAGTGATGGAAATGCTGGTCTTCATTATGTTAATTGGGAAGTTATGTGTAAACCAAAGAAATTTGGTGGTCTTGGGATCAATCCTTGTTCAAAAAAATATGGGCATTTGAGGGCCAAACTAGCATGGATGTATGGGCAACAAAAAGACTCTCTAATGCATAAAATTTTATTTCCAAAATACGGACCAATTAATGGCGGAGAGGCAGCTAGAAGAAGAGGATCGGTCACTTGGAAGATTCTCTGTAATGGAGAGAAGTATTTGAAGCCAATTGTTAGATGGTCAGTTGGAAATGGGAGATCTATCCAAGCTTATAAAGACATATGGTTGTTGGACAAGAGCTTTGAGAGGTGTCATACATTTGTTAATTCAATGGAAGATTTTAATCAAGCAGTAGACAAATTTATAATCAATGGGGAGTGGGATGTCATGGAACTGCAAAAACATTTTGGAATGGAACTGGTGCAGATGATTAAAACCATTAAAATTTAGCCAGGTGGAGGAGAAGACAAGCTAGAGCTGATACATAGATTTTCTGGGAAGACTATAGCATCAATTGCATCTGAAGCAATGACAGAAGACAACAACACTGAAGCTGTTTGGAAAGGGTCTGAGAAGGCAAAGTTAAATCATAGAGTTTTTCTGTTTCGGTGGAGACTGCTTAATAAAGTCATTCCTACAAATCAATTTCTATGTTATAGGAGGCTACATGTGTATGAAAAATGTCCAAGAGGATGCGATGTAGTGGAAATCTGTGATCATGTAGCAGCTGGTTGCGGTAAACTCAAGGAAGTTATTGAGATTTTAAACAGTTGGGGATTTGGGATTCCAAGTATGAGCTCTCTTGATGATTGTTGTAAATGGATGGATAATAAAAGAAAATGGATGGTGAATTTGTATTGCAACACAATATACTTATCCTGGAAGGCAAGGAACTTGTTTGTTCATGAAAGAAAAATTACGAGTCCTTTGATAATAGCATCCAACACTATTAGCTTTTCTGTAGTTATAATAAATTATACTTGTATAAATTCAGGTATTGAGGATGTTAATCAACCGAATAGGTTGTTGAATACTTGGCATTCTCCTCCACCTGATTGGATCAAAGTTAACATAGTTGCGGCTCTTTTCAAGTCTTATAAAGCTGGAATTGGAGGAGTTTTTAGAGACTTTCAAGGGAGATTCCTAATGGCATTCAGTAATTCTTATGTACATTGGGATGCGGTTGATCTGGTGCTACAGGCTATCCTTTCGATCAAATTAGTGCTGAAGGATTGGATGTTTGATTATAAAGGCTTGATCATTGAAGGGGATAACAAGATTGTAATGAATTGCATTAAGAAGATGGTGGATAAGGGCGGAGAAGAGCTGAAAGATATTTATTTTATTAAAGATTTTCATTTTGTTGTTTTTAGTTGTGTGGGAAGCGAGAATAACAAGCTAGCAGATCTTTGTGCTAACTATGCTTATATTAGTTCTTTTTGTTGGGAAGCTATAGATATGAATAAGATACCTCCTTTTATCAATTTGTTAAAGAAGTCGATGATTGTAGGCTGTAATAATTCTCCTTAGTTTCCTTTAATAATAAAGCTGATTTGCTTTGTTTTTAAAAAAAAAAAAAAAAAAAAACACTGTACGTTACGCCTATTTCTAACCCGCGCATGACCTTTAAAGAAATCAATAAAAATTGCACGCATAATAACCGTTGACAATAACTTTTCATTTTTAGATGCTGCAATGGCCTCATATTTTCTGCACCAGAAAACTCGGTGGGACGAAATCCATGGCGCTGGGGCCGGCGTCTTCTCGTTTTTCGATTTCAGACTTCTCCTGCTCCCGCACACTTTATCTCTGTTCCCTCCTCTTCCTTGTCCTCTCTCTGCTCGCTCGGTCAGCTTGTGGCATATACTGTGACGAGGATGACTGTTATGAACTCCTCGGGTTGTTTCTTTGCTCCTGGATCCCCTTCTAGATAGTTGTATTTGGTTTCATCTGGTTTCGCTGCTTTCTAATTGAGTCGTTTCGGTCTCATGTAATTCTAGGGTTTCGCAGAATGCTAATGGGTCGGAGATTAAGAAGGCGTACTACAAACTTTCTCTAAAATAGTAAGATCGCTGACTATATCTTACTTTTCGATTCTGTTTGCTTTTTGTTCGGAGCTTGACTGCTTTTCAATTTTGTTGTTTTATTCCATTTTCAGCCATCCGGATAAAAACCCAGATCCGGAGTCGAGAAAGCTGTTTGTCAAAATAGCAAATGCTTATGAGGTACAATCTAGCCCGATTATCTTCCCTTGTAAATTTTACGGAGGAAAGATTCTTCTGTAAAATTAAATGTTTATTCCTTCCTATATATAGATATATATGTTTGAATGCAGGTAGCAATTCGTTTGGCTAGCTGCTTTAATGCCTTGATGACTATGATAGATCATATTCATAAACTTGAATCTATGCTAGATTGAGAGTCATATTAGAGACTGTTGTTGGATTTACATGATTTGCTTCACTTGCATAGTACATTTATAGAAAACAAACTTTTAATTATAAAAATTATAAGCTTTATGCTGAGTGAACATGAGTTAAGCTGAATTCAAACTGGTGATAAAGTTAGTATGCTTCTAAATTTAGAAAGGAGTCTACTAGGAATCTTTAAGATGTTATATGCAAGAAATGCATGGCCATATACAAATTTACATTGCATTGGAGCTATTGCCTATAAATTAGAACTTTTAAAAAACTCTATTATCACTCCGATTTTTAGTGTCTTATTTGATCTTATTTCATTTGCCTGTCATCAATTATTTGGATTATTCCCTCTTTCAACATCATCATTGTGAATCTACATCCAATCCTTTGTTAGTCAATTCTATGAAGAGAGGAGGTGGAGCTTGGCCGGCGGTGGGGAAATCCCTAGGGGCCGGCGGCAAGAGCAAGGGGAAAAGGAAATTGGAAGAATTCTCTAGGGGGAAGAAGATCATGCAAAACAAAGTAAATAAAAAGATAGCTAGAGAACTCACTAAGAGATCTCAAGGGGAAGCACTCACCAAGAGAACTTCATGCACTCACAAAGAGAACAAAGCATGGGAAATTTTCATTCATAAAAAACTAAAACTATTACATAAGAAAGGACCATATAAATAGGCCTCAAAATGACAAGAAAGCTAAAGACTAAAATGCCCATTGGGCTACAATAACGACTAAATACCCATAAGGGCAAAAACGGAAAAACATAAATATCAAAACAAAACTCATGATCGTGGCCGTTGATCTCCGGCGTCTCCTGATGGTACATGTGTCGAAATATCTGAAGATGTCCTCATCATTTTAATTCTTGTATTATTGTTTGCATTTAAAGAAATCATGTTGTTCGCTTATTTAGTGGTTTATAATATGAGAATTCTAAGTTCTTTACATGATTTAGATGCATCATATCATTCTAGTTGCATTATGAAACCCCAGACCTTTGATCACTCTGCATCATTAGAAGTGATAAATTTACAACTATGGTAGAATGGTGGATGACATATATTATGGTCCAAAATTTTAAAGAGATGTAGCTTGCATAATATCTCACTTGTCAATAATTTATGCATAAAAATAATATTGGCTTATATACTCATTTACCTACACTTTTTAATCAATGAAAAGATGCTAGTATGGCCTTTTAGCTAGGATTATCTTATTACTTTTTTGGGAAGTAGGATTATATTTATATAGCTGATTAATTCTCTAAGATGGCATGTTTGATCCTGTGATTGCAAATGCAGATCATATAGCTAAATTATGTTTAGTGATAGCTAGATTCACAGATTACCTAAAACTATAGTATTTGGTAGAGATGTGAAATTTATGACTTATTTTTTGTAAACTTAATGGAAGAAGTGAACAAAATTGAAAATTTCTTTTGCTTCTTCTCAACCACAAAAAATGAACAAGCCAAAGTAGTAAATAAAATTTAAGATTATTTATTATGATGCTTGATTAGTGATCATTCATTTAGTTAGGATTTAATATTCTCTAGGAATGAGCTTGCAACTTTGCGTACAATCAATTTGTTAATAGATATGCTAGAATTATTTATTTGAAATAGTTATTGCTTTTAAACATTAAACTATAGACCTTCTTGACATAACTATTGATGAATTTGGACTGTTTTTTGCATAATAACATATATATGATTTGAATATTTGATGAAAGCTTGCTTTAACTATAACAATTAAAAGTCTACTACTGATTTAGTTGAAGTTATATGGATTTGAAAGATAATGATATATTAAAATCCAAAATGATTGTCTTGAAAATTCTAAAGAAATAAGAACACGAAATATAAGTTCATATAAAATTTTGCAACATATTGTGATAAATAAATATAAATTAGAAATCACAAATTTTTTTGCATTAGTCTAGTTTTAAATGGATTAAATCTGAATTTACATCATGAACCATCAACCAATTTTTTGAAGTATATTCTTTTCCATCTTCTTTCGCAAGTTTTTGAAACATAATAATATATTTATGAAGCTATTAGATTTATTTGCTACTCATCTTAGATACTCAACGGACCTTGTGAAGTGGAAAGTTTGATATGTGATTATTCATGAATATATCTCTATGAACTTTAACAATTCTTCCCTTTTTTGCTGAAAGAATATCAACTAGACCATGAATTACCATTGATTGTTTTCAAGATGCGGAGAAATGATACAGAATTGGAGGTCTATCATTGTCATCATAAGTGAAATGTTTGTGTTGCATTTTCGTTTTGCAGTTTGAATTGTAATTCAGTTAATCGAGTTAATTGGAGATTATACTTGAATTTTCTGGAGCCTTTATCCGGAGAGCCTTCCATCACTATCTAAGGCCTCTGTTTTTTGTAATTCCATTCCATGGGTGTTTTACAAGCATCCCATCTTATAATAGATAGTGATGGCATGAACAAAATTCTTGTTTTGATGTTAAGACCCTATTCATCTACTCTGTAATGTTGATTTTTCATGAAGTGCCACACTAGAAAGTTTTTATGTGGTTAGTTTTATCCAGATATATTGATTTCATCTTGTTATTATTATTCATCTATAAAAAATATTTGATTGCTTAAATAGTTTGCTTCCCAATAAAATTTGCATGTTATTTCTTGCATTTCTTTTATTAGATTATTAGCAACTAATCTAGAAAACTCAGAAAGATTCATTAGTTTAGTATACACCAAATTGTATGTTTTATTAGAAATATAAAGTTTATACCCCAGAGCATTCTTCGTCAATGTATGGTGATTTGAAGACTGATGGCAATGATAGGAGAAGGCATTCTGGGTGGGGCGGCAAGAGACGGCAATATGATTTTATTCATTCTTCAAAATTGCCATCTTTTTCTAGATGCTAGTACAAATGCTTTTATTTTGTTTTAGCACCCTATAATTGCAATGTTAAACCACCTTTCTTCAGATTTTGAAGGATGAAGCGACAAGAGAGCAATATGATTATGCAATTTTACACCCGGAAGAGGTAGTACTTGAACTAGTACATTGTTCTGTTCATCTTTCAAGGAAAGGCAATGTTGTTGGATGCATGCTTCTTTTTTGTTTCCTCATTTCCTTTTATGGCAATGCACTGCCATTGTACAAAGTGTTGTCAATTTCTTCCTTTATTAGCACTAGTGGGACTAAAAAGCACAAAAATTGGCCTATTTAATCATATCTAAATTTATTTTGTAGTAAACAGAAGGAATTAATATTGATCTCCCGCAAGGGGGAGGACTAGAGGATTTCAAGTGGAAGTAGTATTTAATAATTCACGCTTTGGAAATCATCCTTTTATTGCTTATGACATGTTCAATGCTTATCTTTTTTATTTTGAATGCAAAAAAGCCACCTTACAGCAAAAGCTCTGAAATTAGAGCAAGTCATACTTTTGGGATTATGGTTAAAGTTTAACTTTGATAATTCAGTATAGGTTGAAGTTTAACATTGACAATTCAGATCTAGCTACAGTGAACCCTTATTGATAATGAAAGAGAAATTATTAGGTCACTAGGGTTTTAAGCATAAGTTTGTTGCTTCGTTTGACAAGGTTTTTTTTTGTCTTCTTCTGATCATCTTATGTATTACGTCTTAATTTATCTCTTGTGTAGACAGTTTCTTGTTTTTATTTTTTTAATTTTAATTTCTTTTTATACCACGTTTCACCAACCAGTGGATATACTTAGTAGGTGAACTATTATTTTTGGATATGTATCTATGAGTAAACGTTTTTCAAAAATTGGTTTTTGTTCTATCTACCAGCTTGCATGTTTTTTTATGAAATACAGACTTCGATTCTAGTTTAAGTGACTCATGTGTGATATTTTTCGTTCCCATCCTTTAAGAGCAACTGTCAAGCTTAAATTAGTTCACGATTCACATGATTATGAAATTATTTAAATGTTCTCTCATATATCACGAAGAGTGGTATGTAACCTATCATGATTTTCATTTTGTTCTAGCCGACCCCATGTAGTGGGATAAAGGCTTGATGTTGTTGTTGTATCTTTAGAATTTAACGGTATAGCTCAACTTTTATTTCAGGTTTTCTATAACACGGCACGCTACTATCATGCATACTATGGCTACAAAACAGTAATGCAAATTTGTTTTTGAATTTTCCCGTCTTTTATTGAAACATGTAATTTTATTTTAGAGGAGTGTGAGGCAGTTCTTTTCTATATTGTTTTCAGGATCCCCGTGCAGTATTACTGGGTCTTCTTTTGGTTGTTTCTGCACTACAATATCTGAATCAATGGTCAAGGTATACCCAGGTACTAAAGTTGTGTATAATCACTCATTATAATATTAAAGTTTGCATTATATGCGTGTTGTACTGCGGTTGGAGAGTTTATCTAGGTAACATACTATTTTTCTTTGATCTGATATGAATCCCGCTTACAATTTTTCCTGCATTTAATTTCAATTCACCCTACTAGTAATCACCTCAAATTTATCTTGAGGAATGCCAAGTGATTATCTATTTGTTATTCATAAATGAACACACAGAGAACTTGATGATGGACATGACAGTGGAAACATTGAATATGGTGGGATGTTTAGGCATTTTAACTATTGGGAAGTGAAGAATTTAATATATGGGAATAAGCAACAGGATAAAATAAGAAAAGAATTGAGAAGACCAGATAAATGAACACTTCAAATGAAGGGACGTTTGTGAGAAAAAAGTAGGAAGAAACCCTTGACAAGGGAATCAATTCCTAAAGGTGACTACAAATGTTTTTTTTTTTTAATTTCATTATCAACCAACTGAATATAGAACCATGTGAACTGTTTTGAAATAGGCCTTATTAAAACGAGAAAACTAACCTTAAACAAACTTGAAATTGCCAAGGTAGTCCTACATAATAAATGGCATTTTAAACCACCAATAGTTATCATAAAGACAATTAAGGATGTTATATGGTACATTATATAATATTGAATGCATAGACTCATGACTAAGAGCTGAGATAGAATTGCACTGCATCAATTGTCTTCGGTTGCAAATAATTCTATTCCTGAGATTCTAAATATTGTTGTTGGAAGAATTGGAGATCCTTAACTACATTGTAGAACAATTGAAATTCATTCCAAATAAGAGAAATGAATGAGAAATTCATCTCAAGTGAAGATGATGACTGTGAAATCCATCTCAAGTGAGGGTAATGAATGAAAAATCTATCTTGTGGAAGAAGATATGAAGGGGAAAACATCAACATTATCAAAAAATAATAAATAAGTCTCTTTTCATAGATCCTCAATAGTTCCATCATAGCTCTAAAAAGATAACTTTCGAAGCTTGAAAGTCTTTACGGACATTGCTAGATTGATTTGACTTGACTAAAGTTTTAACTGGTTGTAGTAGTTGACTTGTGATTGATAAATGGAGGTAATTGCGATGTGCGTTGAGGGATGATAGGAATTATGGTTATCAAGATGCGAGAAATTGCTGAAGGGTGAAATTTGCCACGCACACTAAACATGGAGCTGGATGGTTGCAAGCTTGCACGGGTGACATTTGAGAGAATGCAACCCATTGAATATTGTGAATGCTGATGTGCATTGTGGTAGATTAGCATAGGGAATCTAACAAATGTAGACACATGTATAAGAGTTATGTTAGGAAGTCAACAAATACGGGCACATCCATAAGATTTGTGCAAGGATGAAGTAGTTAATTTGTGGATGATGCAAGAGTGGAACTGTCATCCAGTTGTTATTGATTTTGTAGATGACACAGAGTTTGTGAATGAGGCTATCCATTGAATCATTTGCATTTTGTTTGAGTTGGGGTTTACATCGATTGAAAAGCAAATAATTAAGCATGTTTTTAGGGGTTTGTTTGCCTTAAATTGGTTTGGATTAATTAAGCTGGTGATTACATTTTTTTGGCAGGCTCATAAGGAGGCCTATAGCCTTGAGAATGAGGAACGACAAAAAATGGATCTTATAGTTTTTCTCTGTAGGTAAGGTGAGCCAATTGGTTAAAATTGGTTTGATTGGATTTTTAATTTTATGTCGCCCTTATTAATTGGGATGGGACTTACATTTTTGGAAGGCCCATAAGTGGAACTTAAAATTTCGAGTATAAGGAATACTTGATTTGAATTATCATTCTGAAAGATGACAAGTATCATAGATGATAATTCTATTTGCAAGAGAGCTCTAATGGATTGGACTTATAAATCCCATTTTAAGAGAAGTTTAACATATGTGTTGTTTTGAATTTAGAATGGCATATATGGTGGGTGTTACTCTCTTTTCTTAGAGGCAAGATGACCTATATGGCGAGTATTTTAATCTTACCCTGTAGGAAATCTAGTTCACATATCGAGGCAATCAATCACGAGGACCCTTAGATTAAGTGGCGGTCAATAAGGTCAAGAGTAGGGTCCTTGGCATATATTCTTGATAAACCTGGTTGACACCATTTGTATTTGAATTTAGACCCTTAGCCATCATGTTGATTTTACCCTCGAAGGGTTTTTTTTTGGGTTATTTATTATGACAGGGAATGTATTATAGCCACCTTGAATTTATCGGTGATATATTTGAACCTTAGGTCGAGTTTGGAACCATTTGAAAGTGCAACATGTTTTTTGATGAGCTAGCATGGTTATCAGTATGTTGACACAACCTTCGATGTTTGTGAATTCAAGTTAAAAAGTGAGATATGTTTTTCTTTTATGAAGCCTGAAGTTATCTCACTGTTTTGTAATGTGAAAGAAGCGACGGACTCTTTGAGCATTGCATGTTTGATATCTCCTTCTAGACATCCATCTTGCATGTATGATATCTCCCAGACATTCGGCTGATACCTACTCAACACTTTTTCTATGATGTTGTCTTGTAACTTGCATGCATGGTGGTTGTTACCAATCTTAACCTATTTTTCAATCACTTAAGTGCCTAGAAATATTAGTTGGAAGATGCTTTATATTATTTACCTGCTAGATTATTTTGAGGAACGCACATGTTTCCTAAGGCTAATTAGTATTCTAAAACAATAGATTTATGTCATGGATTGTATTGTAGAATGTTGAGAATAGTTGTATAGTTTCATCGAAGTTTCTAAAATGATTAGTTGCATCTTAATAAGTTCGGACAGCATGAAAATCTTCAAAATTCCAAAGAGAAGATCAACGACCTTTGATGAAACTGACTGACTTTGAAATTATGTTGCAGGCTTTAAACATGGTTAAGAAAACACCAGCTTATAAGAACAGGCTAAGAGCTTTAGAGCTTGAACGGAATGGACTTGTTACAAACAAGAAGAAGGCCAGTAGACAAATGGACAAGTAAGATTTTACTTCTTTCCATAAAAATCATAAATGGTCGAGAATGAAAGCACGCCCAATGGGTCTTGGATTTTTATGCCCATTTTTCTTTCCTTTTTGGATCTAAATGGTTTAGCGTGGCATATGTTGGATTTTATTTGTGTACTGATTGTGTTTTACTTCTCAGATACGGTGTCATGTTGCTTCCAAGCTCCTATTTGTCCAACATTTTTTACTTCCCAGAAAGAAGCATTGATACTTACTAGTATCACTAATCTTTTTTTAATTCAGCAACATATCTGGTGGGAAAATTATTATATATATATATATATCTGGTGGGAAAATGATTTTAAACTTTTTTGATGGTTACAGGTTTAGTCCTTTATTATGCTCCTTTTGCATGTGTGTAGGTTACAGTTTTCCTTCCGAGGCAACTACACAAAATGATGATGTTTACTGATTTTATACTGTAGTTGAATGGGAACAAATAAATCACTCATCTTTACTTCTTTTTGACAGGAAGGTGGAAGAGGAACTTAGCAATGAACTTCAGTTGCAAATTCAAGGAGCTGAGAAACCCACACTGTGGAATATTTTTGCTGTCCAATTTATACTTCTACCTTACGCTGTAGGCAAGGTTGTTGATTTACCAGAATAATGCTCAGTAGGATTTATTATTTCTTCTGTTTTGGTACTTTGTCTTTTACTCCATATACATAGTTTGTACTGATATGCTTTTGTAGGGAAATGGGAACTAACCTGCATATTATTTAATTATATAATCTTCAGAAATTGCTGCGGAAATTCTGTTGGTTCTGGAGATATCATATAATGAAGGATCCATTAACGTGGGATGATGCCAGTTATCTAACACAGGCTTGCCTAAAAGTGCCTCGTGATACATGGCAAAACATGGGTAACCAACCTACAACGCTACTTCTGTTTGGTTTATTTTGATGTTTTCTCTATAATTCGTTAGGAAGTTGAGAACATGTTTTGCAGCAAGCTAATATCAGTTTCAAAATTGGATAAAGATTGAGGCTTCGTTTGGGACGACTTTCTTACGGCTTCGCAAAGCAGTTTTTTAGTATAATTTTTGTGTGTGTGCTGGAAAATGGTTCGAGAAACAGTAAGAAAGCCGTATCAAACGTAGCCTGAATCAAGGTTGCCAACGTGTAAAGTGCAATGTGAAATGTGATGTGCAGATTATTACTTTTTTTTCTTTTTAAAGCACAAACAAAGCTTGCGCTTCTATTAATTGAAGCACATAAATTTGAGAAAAATTTGCATAGTATTGCATTATCGAACAACTTTCATAAAAATCAAAATTATCAAATCTATGAATATAATTAGTAACAACTAGTAAGTAATTTAAAAATCAAATTAAGTGATGTTACTTGAAAAGGCAAGGGGTATGTGGCACCACTAAGAAACACCCAAACAACAAAAATGATGACTAAAGCTGAGTATCATGAACACAAAATTAAATCAATATGGAGGTGAGGAACACAAATAAAATATCAATGATTTAACGAGTTGGGATCAAATTCCATCTATGTTAGTTTATCTGCACAAATGTTTTAAATAGTTAGCTAAAAGTTTGGGATCATAGGGGACTAACGTGATCACTTAAAACATCCTTTGTATGTTATTTGAGAAAGAAATGGAATAGAACTAATTAGCTATTGCTTCACCTACGTTAATTATTTCACTTTACACAGTAATGCATTTGTTTTAAATTTTTAATTATTTATTTTTGATGATTTGAACTTCTTATTCTCAGATGAATCTACAAAGAAGGAACTCGTTATGAAGCGTTTATGGGACAAAGCTAATATGGCGAGCTACCTGGCAGATATGAGAAGGGAATCAAAACGTCGAAGATGACATGTCTGCCAGGTTTCTAAAGCCTTCTTTTTCCCAATGAAGATTTTAACAATTTTGTTTCTGTAGTGAAAATAAATATTTACTAATATATGGCTGCACAATAGAACTTTTTATATTATTTGTTTCCTACATTTGCAAGATCACTGTACCCTCACATTTTAGATTTTGATGAGCCTGTTTACAACATTTGCAAGATCAAGCTGACCATAAGTATAGGACAATTACTGTCTCTCTGGCATTTTTCTTATCGATATGTAATTGTGTAGCGTTCGATTTTTCACCCCTTTTTGCAATTCTTGAAGCTATGAGGGGTTTCATGGCGGGGTAATGGGCCAAATGCCTTCCCTTGTTTAGGTACGTTCTATTGAGTTATTGTGTGCGGACACCGAACTGGAGAGAACCGTCTGAATTTCTCTCTATCTACAGTGAAAGTGCAATCAAAGCTTTGAATGTGTGCTTTTATTGTAGATAGAAAGAAACCCGAACGATTCTCTCTGTCCGATGTCTGCACAAAATAAAAAGTCCTTTCATAGGGCTCTGTTGTAACAAAAATATGTTTTCCATTAAATTCCTTAAAACACCGACTATTTCTTGAAATATAATTAAAGTTCTCAAAAGAATGTTGAATGTTTCCTTTTAAAATAATAGAAGAGTCTGAGAGCAATAAGTTCTAAACTTCTTTTTGTAAGCTTTTTCAGAGTTTTTTTTTTTCTGGCACATTAATTGCATTCAATATCATTTTTAAGGGTGCAATTCGGATCAGGAGGGATTGTTTCTTTCTGAAATCTGTATTTGAATGGATTCAAAATGTCCATCCTTTCTGAAATTTTTTCATCATAGATTTAATAAGGAAATAAGGAAAAAAGTTTAAAATTACCCACAACACAAATAAACGTGAAAATATATAGTAAGAATACAATTCATAAACGGAAATCTAGTTCAAGACAAACTGCTAAAGGACTTTTAGGACAGTGAAATTATTCTATGAGGGTATGGATACTGTCCAGAGACGAATCAGAACACGTCACATCATCCGTTTGCTGTGTATCGGATGACTTGACACGTTCTGATTCGTCTCTGGACTGTTCGGTGTCCGCACAGAATAATTTCTCTTTAGGACAAAACCAACAATTTAATGCTCAAAGAGTAGTAGACTACGGAACAAACTTGACTGAAATGCTGTTAACACAGTGACGCTCATCTGTTGGTGTGTTGAATCCCTCTCCTTTGAAGACATGACCAAGATGCCCTCCACAAGCACTACAGGTTATCTCTGTTCTTCTTCCATCAGGATCAGGCTGACAAAGACCAAACACTCAAAATTTAAATTTTAGAAAAAAAAAAGATAAATCATGAACCAAATTTAAACTTCGTTTGGGACGGGCTTTCTTCTTGTTTCTTAAACCAGCTTCCTAGTACAAAAATTAGGAAGTTGATTTAAGAAGCAGAAAGAAAGCGGTCCCAAACGAAGCCTTAGACTTCATTTGGGACAGCTTTCGTACTGCTTTATAAACAGATTTTTTAGTTCAAAATTTTTTAAAAAAGAAAATTTTGTACTAAAAAGCTACTTTAAAAAGCAGTACGAAGCTATCACCTCGGTCAAAATAGTATTGAATTTGCTTCGAGATTAATTACATATACAGCTAATCAATTAGCTCTTTGTTTAGAGTAATCTAAAAACAAATTCAATGATAAAAAACTAATCTGCCACTCAATTTTTTTTTTGTATAATCACCGAGCGAGTTATTGCTCCAGGTAGGCCTTCAAAGAAAGCTGGCCAGCCGCATCCAGAATTGAACTTTGTGGTTGATTTATAGAGAGGTGTGTTGCAGCCAGCGCATTGATAGGTACCTTCCTCAAAGAATTTATCATACTCGCCAGTGCCACGTGGCCTAAGAGTTTGAAGGAGAAGAATATCAAGATTAAATAAAATGTTTGAAATGATAGAATCATTTTACAGAACTGCAAGAGCTTTCTAAGAGGCTCGTAATCAGATTACTCAGGAAAGAAAAGACAAACACATAAAAGTAAAGAATTATTCATTAGCTATTGGTACAATATATCATCATTATTGAGGATATTCTCAATAATTGTGTTTTTATATAGGGAAATTTACATATATATCACTTTATTTCATGCTATTTACATATATAACATTCAAAATATTAATATTACATGCCTACCACTCATATACAACTTTACTATCAAATATACCATTCATATAATTCATTTCTACCATTCATATCATCTTCTAAACTTTAATATTTCATTCCATGCACCCAAATTTATTGTATGAGTAGTAGACACGCAATATTAATGTTTTGGGTGTTAGATATGTAAATAACATAAAATAAAGTGGTATATATGCAAATTTGTTCTATGAGTGATAGGTATGTATGTAAAGTTGTCTTATCTTGTCTATGCATATACATGCTTGTAATAGCAATAACAATTGAATTAAGTAATAGCCTTTCATGAGTCTCCTCTACTCCCTATTTGGTTTATCTTATCAACACCCTCCCCATCACAAATTTGTACTTGATATGACATGTGCTAAACAATTATGTTAGACATCTACATTAGCTATTATTATAATATATCATATAATTGACTATTCTCTCAATTTTTCTATTTTTTTTATCCTCATCTTTTGCAGTTTGCTATATATGTATATTTGCATTAGCATAACAATTGAGTAAAGATACAATCCTTTCATATCAAGTACAATTGAATATAGAACTTTTGTAACAAAAAACACATCTGATAACAATTTAAAATTCTTAAGAGATATGGACAGATGCGAGCATCACCGATTGCGAGAAAATTTATTTTGTGCGGACGCCGAGCGCTGCCCGTAGACCAATCAGAATACGTCACGTCACCCTTTTACTGTACCACGGCTCAGTATTGCTCTGTACCAAAGCTCGGTACCGCTCAGCACCGCGACTCGGTACCGCAACATCCGGATGTAGAGCTGTGTCCGACGTCCACACAGAATAATTTCTCAGAGAAAAATTATTCTATACGGACGTCGAACGCCGTCCAGTAACCATCGCCAAGTAAGGGTGTAAAGGTTTGCCCAACTACTACCTTCATAGCCCAGCCTACCAACTTAGTTGGGATGGTTGCACTTATGGGAGAAAAAGGAGGGGTAGTGTCCGACAACCTATCTTAAACCAGTGGTTAGTATATTTAGTGAGAGAAACATCGCGAGGGAGAAAGAGATGAACAGCCGGATAACGACTACGTTCATCACCTATTATCATCTTAAATCTCGTTTTAGTCTATAGCCCAGATTTAGCAAATTCTGAGGAAAGTTGGGTTTTAGAGATCTGCACCACTTCAACTCATTGTGCCATAAGTGCAACCATACTTATAGCAAGTGGTGGAGCCAGAAATTTTTTTTGGAGGGGGCTCAAAATTTTATTTTAAAATATTTATCTTAACTTTTTTCATGCATAATTGGAACTGGTATTTACAGTTTTAAAATTATTAAAAAAAAAAATAGTCTATTTTGCATTCACCAAGCTCAATTAAAGCAGAGACAAAATATTGCCTTAAGAAAGTGTATAAGCTGGACTTAAAATCATAGAAAAATCAATCTGCTTGTAATTCCTGTTGATTTGGTGGTGTATTCATGAATCAAGCAAATAAAATTTATGAATACTACGCTAAAAACAAAGAACTGACTGCAGAGGCAAACAAAATAAATTGAAAATGATAGAACTTCTTAGAAACAAGTTGATGCTTTCCCAACCTAATAATCATAGCAAATGTCAAAAAAGATTTCACATTTTCATCTATAACTGGAAAATCAAAGCAGATTTCATCTATGACTATAATAGCTTTATGCGACGATACTGGAAAAGCTTTGTGGCTTTGTGCGACGGTGCAGTAGATATAGGATAAATATAAAGCGGACAATGCAAGAAGAAAACCTCGGTAAAAGAATCACAAGAGAATTTTTTTTGTTGTTTTTTTTCCTCTCAAGATCGAACAATTATTACGTCCTCTGACCTGACGTAGAGGTACGTTCAGCCGCCAATAACATATCGCCACGTGCTCTTACTCTTTACCGCACGGCCCGACGACTTGACCCGGAGCAGAACCCGGGAATGCTATGTACGCGATTTTCTCGGTATTGCTCGGTATTTGCTCGGTATTGCTTTGCAAAAACGAGAAATACCGCTCTGTGAAGACCAAAACTATACAAATACCGATATGTACCGAGTTTTTCTACAACTCGGTACAACTCGGTATTTGCTCGGTATTGCTAGGGATTTGCTCGGTATTTGCTCGGTATTGCTAGGTATTTGCTCGGTATTGCTAGAAAAAACTAGGTACAACTCGATACAACTCAGTATTTGCTCGTTATTGCTAAGGATTTGCTCGGTATTGCTAGGTATTTGCTCGGTATTGCTAGAAAAAACTAGGTACAACTCGATACAACTCAGTATTTGCTCGTTATTGCTAAGGATTTGCTCGGTATTGCTAGGTATTTGCTCGGTATTGCTAGAAAAAACTAGGCACAACT